GGAACCGGTCTCCACATGGGATCCGAACCCTCGGCGGGAGCGCCGCCGTACTCCCAAGCGGCGCACTCTCCAGTGCACCACCGGGCTGGCCCTGGAGTTCTTTTTCTCCCCATGTAAACACCTTGAAAGTAAAGACTTCCTTTTTGGTTCACTTTTTTTTGGTTATCTTTCAAAACATTCCTCACTTTAGAAAAACCAGGTTGCAAAAAGTAAAGGCTTCAAGACACTTGATAAGTTCAGGAGAACTTCAGAGCACATTTGAGCAGATCTGGATATCGTCTCATAAATAACCTGTTAAGATATGCCTCTTGGTTTGTAAAATGAGTTATTTCTCAAAAACAAGCGTGGCATGCTGATAAACATTTTTTATTTTAGTAGTTTTAGTGCATATTAGAAAAATATAACAACATATTAAGCCCTTGATTTCCAGGGATTATGAATATAAAGAAAAATATTAAGTAATTAATAATAAGGGGGATAAAGGAAAAGAGATATGCAAGTAATCAAAGTTTGGGAAAGCCTAGACCATATCATCTCCAAGGCCCCATCTAGCTCTATTATTCTAGAAAAATAAGAGTGTTATTCTGATTTCATTTCTTTCCAACCTTCCCTCTGCTGTGCTAGCACCTCCTGTCCATTAAGACTTTAATAGTTTATGTGTGTATTTGCTGAGGCCTTTAAAAACTCATATTTATGTGATGGCTGTTATATGAAGTAGTTTACAACTAGAGTTCTTTCTTTCGGTACAATTTGAGAGATTACCATAGAAAAGTCTTTTCTGTGTTCAGAGGCAATCTCCCTGCTTCCAACACGAAGTCAACATTTTGCTCTTACAGATAATGATATGATAGCCAGTTATTGTTTTTTCCTGTTTCCTTTCCAGTCAACTTAATAATCCACTGGGGATTCACTCTGTCCCACTATAGCAATTTATTTTGACCAGAACCTAAGAGAATCCCTTGTTTCTTTCTCTTTTTTTTAAAGTTTATTTATTATTTTTTTACATTCAATGATGTTGTTGCAGAGCAGTTGGGGGGGAAGGGGAGAGGAGAAGGGGGAAGGAAATAGGGTGGAAGGAGGAAGGAGGAGGGGTGGGGTTGAGGCCTGTGGCACCCCCTCATTCCTCCTGCAGGGAAGACCAGGGGGCTTCTAGCAGTGTTTTGATCATTACTGGGCTAGGTGCAGATGTCAGGGGGGTGTGGCTGAAGCACTCGTCTTCTCTCCGCCTTAGCTTGGGAGCTCAGGGTGCTTCCTATGGTGGCTCAGTGGTCATTGCTGGGCTGGTTGCAGGTGTTGGGGTGTGTGTAGCCAGAGCCCTTGGCCCCCCCGCCCACAGCTTGGGAGAGCCTGGTTGCTTCCTGCAAGGGCTTGGTGGTTGTTGCTAGGCTGGTTGTGGGTGCTAGGGGGGTTTGGTTGTGGCCCTTGGCCCCCTACCACCCTGGCTGGGGAGAGCCTGGGCGCTTCCTGCAGCAGCTGGGTGGTCATCGTTGGGCTGGTTGTAGGTGTTGGGGGGACACGGCTGTGGCCCCCAACCCACCGTCCTCCCTGGTTTGGTAACCCAGGGGAATTCCAGTCCTTCTAGGTTTTATAGGTGTTCTTTGGTGATGTGAGACCTTTACTAGTTAATATTAAACTTTGTCTCTGGTCTGTGGGTATTTTATTTTTTCTTCCAGTTCTGTATTTGATTATTTGCTGCTCCTACCACTTAAACTCTGCACTGGAACTAATTTGTTATCCTTTGCTTACTTCTAAAATGGGGGAACTTCCTGTGGGGACCAGCACTTGAAATCTGTGGTTGAATTAAATTGTTGCTTTGCTGCTGCTTCCCTAGGGAAGGCTTTTTGTGCAGCTGTTTTATTTATTTATTTATTTATTAATCTTTTATTTTTTGACTTTAATTTACATTTATTTATTTTATTATTTTTTTAAATTTTATTTTGTCGATATACAATGAGGTTGATTATTGTGGCCCATT